TCCCCTTTGCATTCTAAATCACATGAATATTCATGCTTCACGGCCATGATTTATGCAGCACATCAGGGCGAGACATGCATTTAATTGGAAAAAAGTCAAAAATTTCGTTTTCCATTCCCTGGGTGTAATGTGTGCTTGATGGGCTGGCATATCTCCTGGACTGGCTGCCGCCGAGGGACGGCCATCAGAGACACAGATACACAGATACCGATACAAAGTCGGGTTATAAATGACGACATTTGCTAAAAATAATTGTGTAATTTTATGCGCCGAATGGCTGCGCACTTGTCAGTATCGATAAAAGCGGATGGCACGAGACGAAGGTGGGCGATTCAGACTTATTGGGGCGCCTAAAGGTATGCATTACCATTGACAGCTGCGATAAATGAGGCGCTAATAAATCTCGCCAATCAGGGGATTAACTCCACGGGGAGAGGGCTGAAATTCTGGGAGCCGGCATCGGATAGACCTAAATAAACCGAAGACAAAGTTGCCATGGAAATTTAATTTCAAGTTTCCCCGACAGTTAATTGACTAATATTTGCTCGTGCCAACTCAAACATGGAAGCCCCGAGAAGTTGGCCTGCTTCTAATGGAATGCCTTCAGACCGCACTCTGGCCAGTGGCCACAAGACAGTTTGTATCAACTAAAATCAGTTAAGGACTCCTTCCACTCACGTACATAATAAAAAACTTTGAGCAATGAAACTCCTGGCAAGTCGAAGCCCCAGGGTTGATCATCAATTTGTCGCAGAAGTTTCAATCACAGTTCACAAAAGACTGGAGGAGGAACTGACTTGCGAAGGTGGAAATTGAATTTCCTTGTCTTTTTCCGCCAAGCATTGGAAACCCATTGAAATGCTGCCTTCTCGGTTGAGTTGAGACAGAAGAAGAAAAAAAATAAGTCAGTGACAAGGGAATTATGTAAAGTAGCCTCAAGTTATCGGCAGTTGTCACAGATTTCGTTCGTATAATTTTGCGGAATGTGCCAATGCTTCCAGCGTGTTTTCTACCACTGAATTTTCGCTTCACTGGATAAGCGGAGCATGACAAAGATTTTAAATGCCAGACCATTTTCCAAACAGGCTCGGGAAAACTCTAACATCAGTTGCCTGCTGGCATTTTGACTCAGCTATTTTTGTGATTTATTTGCTCGAAGGTTTCCCGTTTCGCCCACAACAAGACGAATTTGATTGCCGTTTGTGCGATTTGTTTGCCACACACAAACACACACTGACGAATTTATCAATTTGTTATTGGCTGTCCCAGGCACCCTTTATTGTTGCTCGCAGGACATTTACTATATTAATTGTAGGCAATTTCGTTTGGATAGAAAGAGCTGGGGGACGGTTGCTGGGATTGGCTCATCTGTTCCATTGGTCAACTCAAATTTATTCATATGCCCTAAGCTGAAACATCTGTCGGGGAGTGTGCTTCTGGTTTCCTTGTGAATTAATCAAGTAAGCTCCTTAAGGAACGAACACAATCCGTTGCCCGCTGACACGAGTCCTTTGCCATTTAATCATGCTCTGACTACCGCTCAACACTTCTTGGGTGTCAAAGGAAAGCCACAGAGTGCTTAGGTGTCGTTTTGTCTAAAAATATAAATCTCTGCCTCACAAAAATTGCAATACGATTGCGTAACCAGGATAGCAATTATTATGTAAATTGATATGCTTCTTTTTCCCGCACGACTTTCAAGCCTTCTCCAAATTTTTCCTAAATTGCCAAAACCAGCAGTGAACCTTATTTTGTAATTTGTAAACGTATTGTGACTCCTCCGCCTCCAATCTGGCTCTGCAAATGTCAAATAAATGGGGGGTTTCCGCGGCCATATGGCAAAGCCAGACAGATTTCCTCAAGCAGCAACTCAGAAACAAACTTTTTCATTTTATGAAAAAGTAATTTCGTTCCGTTTGACATCTACTCCGAAATGGCTTCTTGGGTCGCGCGTTTTAAGTATTTATATTGCAATTACACTCACCATCGTTCCGGTACTCTCTTCCTCTGCCTCAGTCTGTGTCTGTGCCTCTGGATCTGCCCCGGGGAAAAATCTATAGTATATATTGTAGTATTGTCTTCCTGGCTCTCGTTTGTTGTCAGTGCGTCTGCAAGTGACTTTCACTTCTTCCGACTCTACAGTTGTTCATTTAGCTTCCGATTTGGATTGCACTCATGGGATTGCCCTCGTTGTCTTGAAATCATAATAAGAACACAGTTTGCTAATGCATTGTTTTTAAAAAGGATCAAAGGATAAGCTTTGCCTTGAACTGACAACATTATCAGCGAACAGCTGCAAAATTGGCTGTCTGTTGACTCAACTTAATTAAAATGCTTAAGAATCTCTGAAGTTGGGACACAGCTTAATCCTTGATGCTGCAAGAACACAAGCCCCGAGCGAAAAAAGTTTCCACAACAATGTTGTACTCCACAAGCGCCTTCGGGTGACTGCAGTTTTGCATGCATAACTTGCCAAAAATTTTCCAGAGCATGGATGTGCTTGTACATCAGTTAACCCTGTTGCTCTTGTTCTTTTAGATTGCCTGAACCACCCAATGAGTCAACTCTCAAGGCCTTATAAACTTAAACTTACTTGAGCTTAAATAAAGTGTGTCTTCATTATGGAATTGGATTAATGAAAAATGTCAGCAAAACAAAACTTACAAGAATTTATTAATGGTGATAATCTCTATTAAGTAAAAAGGGTTTACTGAAAAGCCTCTGCTTGATATATTTTAATAACTAAATATTTGTACGTGTTTCTTGTATCTAAAATAAAGAGCTAAAGAAAGGTTTTGCCTTTAAATTGATGGTCAAATATTTCTATATACAAAATTATACAAGTATTGAATTAGAGCAATGAGTATTCTGAGTTTTCTGCAACAGCTAAATATTATTGTGAGGATGAGACTATTTAGAGACTTCTATATAATATTTAACTGCTTAAGGTTCGTTTAATTTGATAAAATAAAGAGAGGCATTTAATAAATTTGTGGCTTGATCAAAATCAATTGCTAAATCGATCTAGCCATATCCGGTTGAAAATTTTTTTTCGAAAATTAAACAAAATTTAAACATTTTATAAATTTAAATTGGGATTGCAGATTTATTAATCTAATGAAATTATCATGTAGATTATAAATCGATAAATATTGACAAAAACCTTTCCAATTGCAAACTGTGTGAAGGCATTCAAATTTCGATCTAGTTTTCCTTTTTAAATTTATTTCAATATATTTATTGATCCAAGTCGCAAATTTAACTTACAGGGGTGTATTCATTAAAAACGAAAGCTACCTGAAACCGTTTTCTGGGTTTAAAGGTTCATGAATTTACTTCCAAACTACTTTTGTGAGTTTCATTTTTAAAATCATCTTCGATATTTTGGGCCCAAAAAAAATCAAGTTAATCCTTTAAGCCCCTTTAGGTTAGTCCTTTAGTCCATTTGAAGAAATGCGTTCAAAAAAAAAACTACGTTTTAGTATTTCATTAATTCTCATTTTGTCTGGACATTGTTAATCATTCACATCATTATTGTTATAATTGCCACAAAATTCTTGTCACTACTTTCTTTTACGTCCATCCATATACATAGTACACAATGCTTTTGCTCTATTATTCAGAGTCCATTAATAATGCCATTAAGATAATTGTTTTTCGCCAGGGCTGAACTGCAACACGTTCAGAACTCATTACGCACAATGCAGATTCAGTATTAATTTTGTATTAACTTCCACGAAATTACCCTGAGTTTCCTCAGTAGTTTCAGTAAATTATAATTGACTGCCCTCTGCCCGCACACGTCACTTGGCGTTACGGACTCGGCAGATCCGTTTTCCCGAGAGACTCGCGGCAAAGTAATATTTTCTTTCGATTAATTCGCAACTTGCATTTGAGATTCAATGGAGCGCGGGACCGGGAAAATAATCATAATAAATACAGACAGCGAAGAGGCGTCCGGCAGGCTATTAGCGAATTTCCGCGGACCACTTACGGCACAGAGCACGAATACTCGTAAATGTCGAGACTCCGGCGGCCCGTGCGAAATTTTCACGCCTTTAACAATTTAATGGCGGCACATTGTTGGAAAAACAAACACAAGGCACTGTGTCGAGGGCAGCATACCTCTCAGAAATCCAAATTCCGTGTGGATCCCACGGGTTTTTTCGGGCATCAGCATTTTGGCGTTTTAAAATTCTGAATAAATATGCGGCCGCATTTTGATTGTTTCGCCTCAGTTCCAGTTCACGCCTTTTTTATTACAATAAGTTCGAGTGTTTGGTTTGGCTTGACTGTTTACTGATCTCCGATAACCACACGCGTGCACAGTCAGCGACCATCTGTTGACTTTTGGTGCGCATCCCCAGCTTATATAGCCTTGCCTTTGAACCGCGCCACTCGTACCTGGTGTTGCCTGTGGCACGCTGCGCGTTGCGTATACGCCGCGTGGCACACAAATCGCGACTGACAGCGCCGCAATTCCTTCACATGCCTCGGACCTTCGCCTGTGACTTTGTTTTGGGCCATCAGCTGTGCGAGCTTTCTTATCACTGGGGCTAGGGGTGGAAAAGCTTCGCACATTGGGGAAAGAATAGTCGGAAAAATAGCTGCGAGCTTCCATTCAGTATGCCGTGAATCTTGAGTCACTGGAAGAACTCTTTATTACTCCCTGGGTTACCCCTGCCGAAATGACGAAACCAAAATTAATCGTATTATAAAAGCTATTTGTTTTGAAGTTATCTGGCACCTAAAGATAGTGTATCTTTTGTTTATAAATAATTAAAATTATCTTGGAAATAATCTTTATTGTTTGTAATCATGCATCCCCACAATACTTACTGTTTTTCAAAACAAAAGATTCGTATTTTAAGAAATAAAAGAATTCCAATTTATTATTAATTTTCTTTTATATATTATTAACATACAGGTATTTATCTTTTTTTTTATTTCTACAAGCTTCTTTACATTAACAAAAAATACACCATTAATTGAACAAGTAATTCAAATAACTCCTAGCAAACAGTCTTATTTTAATGGGCATCTAAGAAACCCTTGGCATCAAGGATAGGTAATATGGTTTCGATTCTACGCTGAATTTCCTTGTTTTCATACATGGAATCCTGGAACTTAATACCCGAAGGTGTATCCTGGTACAGATTTACGAAATCAGGGTCCTCGCAGCCCTCGTACACCATTATCGGTTGAAATGTGTTGGCTATGATAACACCTGAGAAAGAGAAAAAAGTTTAGAAAGCATGACTGCTTGATCATAACTTACTAAACTTACTCTGGAATCGACGCTTCTCAAATTGAAGCTGGTACTCAAACAGACTTGGAAATACGCCCTTAAAATTCAGGACTTCCAAGGTTCGTTTCAAAGCGTAATAATGATACTGGACAAGTTCTGTTTCACGCTCCTTGATATCTGTCTGCAGAGATGTACTAAAGAAGTAGTGCAAGTCCACGACCGGAGATGTCCAAGTGCTGAACTGAAAATCAATGGGCAGGACAGTAGTGGGGTTACCCTCGTCGTCGTACTGGTACATGACATTGGTGGTCCAGCAATCGCCATGGACCAGTGTCTGCAGGTCCTTCTCATCAACATCCACTGAGCGGGCAGCATAATCCATCAAATTGGTGACGATGTTCTCCAACTTGGCGCCATAGCGACTGTTCAGATCCGGCTTTGTCTTTACATACCGGATGAAAGCCCGGAACAATCCGGCAAAGACCTCTCCGTAACCCTCTTTTCCCCTCGAAAAGAAGTGCGATGCGTAGTTGTGACGCAGGAGATCTGGCTCTCTTTGGTTCAAGATTATGGCAGCGGCGTGGAACTTGGCCAACATATCCAATACGAGCTTGGTGTGAGTCAGGTCCAGCTGCTTCACCCTATCCGCATTTGTGTAGCGGAGGGGAGCCAAGTCTTCCAGGATCATAATGGTTCGTGAGCGATCTACGATAATGGCCTTTGCCATCAACTTATCGGTGAAACCAGCCTCTTCTAGGATCTGCGACATCTTGGGCAGCACAACATCGTACATTTCCAGTTCCCTATTGTACACATCGTATTCCTTGAAGATCTTAGCCTGGGGAGCGTCCGACGGAACGCCTTGCTTTAAAATGTAGGACATGTTCTTCACAGATCCGTCTCCAGACTCAAAATCCACGTAGATGCGAGTCATTACGCCGACAAAGTTCTCGCCCTTTTCAGTTGCTGGCTTGGCCCAGAGTTTAATGACCTGAAGCTGATCGTCCTTGTAGAAAGCCCGCAAGGCTGTCTGGATATAATCCTCCGTTAACCAAATCGGTAGCATGGTGAATGATGCTTGGATACTGAGATCTCCCACGAAACTGTGACCGCAACACTTGGACAAGCGTTTATATTGTGACGAAACCTTTGGCTTATCAGTCGATTATATTAAGGCAATGATAAGCTACGTAACTTTAGAGGAGTTTAAACATAGCCGGGGGTAATTGCTATATTACTTTCTATCTGTCTAGAGTCTAGATAGACGGGAGTAGCTTTCAAAGCCAGAAAACGTGATTTACCTTCCAGATGCTTGTTTTCATGTCGTCACGGGTTTGAGATTTAAATAATAAAAAATTCTCGCATCGTCACTTTCTTCAAACAATTTATTTCAGTGCTAAATAATGACGTGTTATAAACCATAACGTATATGCCTTTGGAGGCATTAACACTGAGGCTGAAGAATATATACTACATACTCCGAAAAGATTCTAAACTGTGGATCATCAGCGGGAACCTTCATGATATAGGACCACAGGCCTTCTCCTTTCTCAAAGTCCACCAGGATCGAGTCATCAGACAAAACTTTCTCGACCCGCAGTTGATCGTCCTTATAAAAGACCCAAAGTTTGTTTGTATATAATCCTAAGATAACCAACTGGGTAGCATGGTTACGGATGACAGGTTTCTTAAACCTTTGACTTTATGTAAATATCCTTATCGGAATTACTTTATTAGGAGATAAGCTACATATGTAATAAGACCAAGTCAATTCATAAAAATAAGTGTATTTTTCTGGCGTTATCATCACAAATCGTCAGATTTTATTTTTTCCAGTCATTCAGGTACTTCTCCAGAGTTGCCTAGTCAGCAGAATATTATTCTACTACCTTTTTTCTTAACTGGCATTTTTCAAGCTTTATGATTAAGTGTACCTATTTCCCATTTACTCGGATGTTAAGGTGCTTTACAATATAGGGAATAGAAATAATAAGTTCTTCAAAATAGTGTACATAATATGAACTGGTCGAATATTCTGATATTCGAATATTCTGATAGAGCTTTTAGTTGGTGAATTCCGCAACAGAACCTGAAAGATAAATTGCCCTTGTCCAAAAAACAATAGACTTTTAAAATCTATGAAAAAATATATATATGTTAAAATGTCAACGTCGGCTAGCAATAATTTAGCAAAACTTTAGTTCGTTGGAATTTGTATTATTGTTCAGAATTTATTAATCCCTGGATACCTTTATTATTATATACTGATATAAAATATTTATATGTGTATGTGATGTCTGCCTGTTGACTGAACGGCACTGAAGTGCAGCCCTTTGTTTGACCTCTTCTGCATGCCATAAATGAGAACAAACAGATATTTGCGAGGCTAAATCATTAACATGTGTAGCCTGAGATAGCAGGCAGTTAGTCCGAAAACACTGGGCTTTTGTGGCATTAGGTGGTCATGTAGAGACGGCATAAACCCATTGATTACGGGAGTCGTGCGTAGTTGGCTGGTTAAATAGTTTGGCTGGCTCCTTGGTGGAGTCCGAGCCAAATTGTAGTGCAAACAAAGGCATGCCTCTGATAAGGAACTGGATAAATATTGGCCGAAAAGTGCCAAAGCAGTCCGCACCCATTTGGATTGAGCCAGCTGGGCCACCGAGGGGCAGGGCTGGCCGCTTTCGGCGTAAACAAAATGCAAAAATAACAAATAAATCTCCATCGGAAGCCAATGTATTTCGTTTTATTCGCCGTAATAAAAATGTTATTCGCGGAATTTTCTATTTATCTTATGAATCGATAATGCTTGAAATGAAGACGTCACCCGTTTCAGAGTTCCCACAAAATGTTCGTTGTGTGTCCTTGTTACTTTTTGAAATTAATTAGGCTTAATCGAAAGGCAAACTCTCGAAACTAAACTGTGTCGTATTTGCTCAATTTAAATTAGGCAACGAAACTAGACAGTGAAATAAAAGTAATTAAAACATAAATTCTAAGTGAATTCTCAATTTCCTTTACAGCGCCGAATTATAAGACGAGCCCGGAGGCCACAGAAATTACTGGACTACAATTCGTGGTGAAATTAATTATCTCAGACGACTATCTGGCTATCAGACAGAGTAAGTAGACCCTCCCTGTTTTCATCTATAAAGTTTTCGCAATGTGTTTAATAGCTTTTTTCGAGAATAAGTATTTGTTTGACAACTGTGTCTAGTCACTATTAAATTTCTTCCCAATTGTGGACTGGTACACATATTGATGTTGATTCGGCCGAAACGAAATCCCTTCTCGGAAGGCCAATCCACATTGTTTGGTAAACAAAACCAATGGCACTGATAAGACCGCTGGTAAACACGAGAGCAGCCATCAGCTCACGTTTGTTGCTCTTTTTATACCCTTTGAAGGGTATTATAATTTCAATCACAAGCTTAAAACGCATTGAAGGAGTCGTTTCCGAACCCAAAAATTATATATATATTCTTGATAAACACGAACAAGCGGATCGATCTGGTCATATCCGGTCAAAAAATTAATTTCATAATTTCTTTTTTCAAAATTTCAAAATTTTATAAGGGATTACATCGTTAAAATTTTCAAACATTTTATTTTGTAAGTTAAAATGTAGTAGGCAGATTTATTAATCTAATAAAAAATAACATAGGAAAAGTTTACGAATTAAAATTAACCCATGATTCCATGGGTAAGTAAAAGGTATACACACTTCAGCCTTTCAAAGTTAGCTTACTTTTTTCGTTATTTCTATTTTTATTTGGCCAGCGGTGTTTGTGGGGAAGTGCTTGTTTGCTTTTGCCATAAACAAATTGTTTTATGCATATACGAGTTATTGTTTGTGTTATTAAAAAACCAGACGCTGGTGGGGAATATATCTCTGAGGCAGACTTGTTAAATGTGTGGCATCATTAACAGGGTTTATTTCTATATAAAATATTTAATAAATCAAGAGCAATGCAATTCAGTTGCATTCAATGTTTAAATTTTAATTTAAAGTTGGGGGAGTAATATATATAAAGGAGCAAGATACATATATAACGAAACCCCATCCCAATTACAGCTTGAAACCTTAAATAAATCTCTCCAGACTGTTTCATATTTGCACATTATAAAAAAGAGAATAAATAGGCGACTTTATTAGAATACAAATAAATTACCTAAACTAAATTACATCTAAAGCACAACGACGGCAGAGGAAATCAATTGGCTAGGTTCCATTATTGCTGGCACGAGTCCGTTGGGCTCCATGGAGCCCCTACTGTATCCTCTTGCTGATCGTGTCCAGGTAGTTGTATCCATTGTAGGCCTTACTCGTGGCCCAGTCCTTGCTATAACTACTGCCACCCAGCTCGTGGGGAGCCCCAGATCCGGAGCTGTAGGGTGTATACGAGTTTGAGTAACTGCTGCTCCCCACAAACTGGGAATAGTCTCCGGGGTCCGAGTCGTAGACGTGTGAGTGTGTCTGCACCAGGTGCGGGTGGATCTTGCACATGGTCTTGAACTTCAGGTAGTGGATCAGCCATCCAACGCCGCCCACAAGCAGGACATTCATGCCCAGAACTGCCATGAGCATGCTCACCAGTGTCATCTTCAAATGGGCAATCTTCATTAGGATGACCAAAGGCAGAATGATGAGCCACTTCTTCTTCTTGCGCTTCAGTCGAGCCTCTAATTAACGATATAATGTTACAATTGGTTAGGTGATGTTCAGGGTGCTAATGCTTTGCGATACCCACCAGACTCGTCCATTACGCGTGCTCCAGTTTCGCTGGAGAGTGATAGCTGCAGTCCATGGTTTCGTCCAAAGGTCTCCAGGGCTCTCTTGAGGAACTTGAACATCAGCGTCAGCTCGCTGTCACCTACAATGCAAACCGAGAAATATCCAAATTAAGTGGCCAGCCAGCGGCTATAATTCCTTAGATTAATTTACAGCCGCAGGGGATCGTAAACATCCGCAGTGGGTTAGCCGCGGAGAGAGCAAACGAGTGCCTTGGACACTGTCCAGGCGCAGGTGATCAATTAGAGTTCCCCACACCGACAGATTCCGGCCACTGATTGCTATCCCGCTCCCTGGCAGCGGATTTCCCCAAAACAACTTTCGATTGCGGCTGCGGGCGACCCCACCTTCTAAGCTCTTGGCGTCGTTGAACACAACCACCTCGTTGGCCGGTTCTCCCAGTTGGACCATTCTTAGCCAGCGGCCTTTGTCGCGTCCGTATTCGTTGGGGAAGAAACCTAGGCTGTTGGTTGCCAGTTTCCAAATGAGCTTGCTGGCCTTGTACTTGATGCAGGACACCAGGCTGCGGGTCTCGAAGCACTGCCTCTGATTCCGGGCTATGTAGGCATCACTGGAGATAGCTCTCGCTGATCCCGATTCTGTTCCCGCTGCCATGGCCAGCTTTTCCACTAAGGGCACTGTATGCCCTGGTGGAGGCTCCTCCTCGGCCTGGCTGTAGTGTAGAAGTACCAGCAGCAGCAGGGCCAGCACAACGCGACACAGCAGCATAATTGGTGATTTCGAAATTTGATAGGAACAACGCGAGACGATCCGGAGCACTGCCGCGCGGCTGAGTGGACGAGTCACAAATGGCAACCGAGCGGTGCTGGCGACTCCTTTTATCCCGCATTCGCAACCGCAGGCTAACACCGAGCTGGTTTTTAAAACTAATGCTCATGTACATGCAGCATGCAGCATGCAGCATGCAGAGTGCAGCATGCAACTTGCACCGGAATCTCGATTCCTGCAGCCACTGCCACTGCCAATGCCACCGAAAGTTTCTGGGTCAGAGTTGCTGGGGGGAGAGAGACTGGAGACTGCTCAGCGATCAGCGATCTGCGATCTACGATCAACGTTCGATCGACAACAAATTGAATCGCATTGTCGTCGGGATTATGAAGCCAATATCGAGCAGCGGGCAACCGCCAATTGACCGCCTTCCCTGCTGCGTGTGACTCCGAACGAAAGCCGGGCAAACGAAAGTGAATCGTGGATGTGGATGTGGGATATGGATGTCGATAAGACAACCTCTCCAATGGTTTGGCGCCACTGGCGAACGATGCCAATCAGAATAAGTGCAAATGTGCATTTATGCGAGTTTAAACGGGGCACCTTTTTGCAGTGTGTGTGTGGTTCACAGCAGCCTGCAATTTGCATATTTTTATGCTGGGAATGACTGAGTAGAGGCACCTCCGTCGCTGTTGTGACCGTCTTAATTACCAAGCCACAGACGCCAGATGCGAAAGCTGTTGTTGCAGAAGCTGTTGTTGCCACTGTTTGCTACTATTGCCACTGTGGCCTGCGTTGCATTATTGACCAGTGAAAGTAACAATTGCCGCCGCTTGTCCACTTTTTGCTAGGCATTCTTGAGCCACAAGGCGCTCGAGTGACTGACACCGCTCGCATTGCAATTGATTGGCTTGGACGGCGGTCGTCTGCGTTCGCACTTAATGAGAATGAGGTAATCGGATGCCACTGGCCCCCAGAATCCAATTGCTCCAGCAGGCAGCAGCAGCCGCAGCTGGGATAGAAAGTTTCGGTTTCTTGGTAAATATTGTCTTTAGCCTGCGCGCAAAACCATAGAGGAGGAGTGCCTTGAATTTGACTGTTGAGAGGCGAACAATAATGACGCTGACCACCCCACTTCCAGGCCGATTTGATGGCCACATATTAAAACATGAGTCGCACGCAAACGTGCGAGTATTTCGGTTCAGATTTTTGTACCATAGACTGCCCCGAAACGACTTTTACGAGAAATTAGCAGAGGCGGAGAGTGGCTGAAATCAAAACTGATGCCGAAAACTGAATTGCCAACGACTTGCTAGGCAATTAAGCAAATCCAATTTGAGGGGATAGAGCCGAGATTTCTGGGTCGTTTGGCCGTTACCACCAACGACCGGATGGACTGACGATTGTCAAGGAGAATGGCCACTGGCCACCGCCGCCTCCAGACAGCCTCTTAATAATAAAGACGGCCTTGACTCGTTTAATAGTGATAGTGAAATTTCCGTTCAGGTGCGCACATCTGCCTATAGCTTGACTCGATGCGATAAGTAATAAATTCAATTTGATTTTAGACTTTTAAATATATAGGTTTTACTATCAAGTTACTTTAAATTCAGTGCAAATTTAAGAAATATATTACTTTCTTTTTGGTACTGATTCAAAACTGAATCAAATTTCTCTCATTAAAGCTGTCATCAAATCCTGTTAAAATCGTAATTGTAATTTTGTTGCTCTATAAAATGTTTATTCATGCCACATCCTACCCGACTGATTATTGATTAGTGGAGTGGAGTAGTAGATGTTTACCTTAATGGCCATAGATCCTTTTGGCACAATTAATAAGGATATTTACCTCCAAATTCAAGGGCAATAATTATCAGAGGAGCAAACTAACTTCGGAAGCCTAAATATATATACCCTTGCAGTTATTAAGTGAATTAGAGGATCAAATCGAAAGTCGAGCATTACATAGACTTTGAATCAATATTTATAATTATTTTTATATAACAATTTGATCGACTAATCAAAGTTTAAAATACTCATAACTCAGCATTAAAAACAATTTTAATTTGGAAACCTTAACAATGTTAGTCATTATTATGCATATAAATCTGCATACTCAATTTAAAATTTTAGAAAATTGAAATTTTGAGCAATTTTTGCAAAAAAGAACCATATAACCCCTTATCAAACTTTCAAATTTCGCCAAAATTGTCGAAATTTAATTTTTGACTAGACATAGCTACATTGATTCATCTTTTGATACTTATCAAGAATTTTTATGGTTTATAGGGTCGGAAATGATTCATTCACTGCGCTACAAGCTTCTGACTTAAATTATATTTTTCAAAAAGGTATAAAAACAGACCATTTTTTAGAAAAATAAAAGTTTTTCGGACATCATAATTAGGCCGAAATTGCATTAATTTTAATTCGGAAAGCTTTTCTGTGCTAGTTTTTATTGCTCTAACAAATCTGCATACTGCGTTTGTTAATGCTATTGTCAGTTTTTGACTAAAATCATAAAAACCTGCAAAAAGGTATAAAAACGGACCATTTTTTCGAAAAATCATAGTTTAAAAAAACTCATAACTAAGCCAAAAAATCATTAATTTTAATTCAGAAAGCTGTTCTATGCTAGTTTTTAGTAGATTAACAAAGCTGCATACTCAGTTTTCAAATTTAAAAAATTCAATTTTTTGTCAAATTTTGGCAATTTTAATGATGTAACCCTTATGAAATTTTCAATTTTCGGAAAAATGTTAAAAATTTATTTTTTGACCGGACATGGCTAGAACGACTGGGCTGTTGATTCTGATCAAGAATATATATGGTTTATAGGGTCGGAAATGACTCCTTCATTGCGTTCGAAGCTTCTGACTTAACTTATATTCTTCAAAAAGGTATAAAAACAGGCAATTTTTTAGAAAAATAAAAGTTTTTCGGACATCATAATTAGGCCGAAAGTGCATTAATTTTAATTCGGAAAGCTTTTCTGTGCTAGTTTTTATTGCTCTAACAAATCTGCATACTGCGTTTGTTGATGCTATTGTCAGTTTTTGACTAAAATCATAAAAACCTGCAAAAAGGTATAAAAACGGACCATTTTTTCGAAAAATCATAGTTTAAAAAAACTCATAACTAAGCCAAAAAATCATTAATTTTAATTCAGAAAGCTGTTGTATTCTAGTTTTTAGTAGATTAACAAAGCTGCATACTCAGTTTTCAAATTTAAAAAATTCAATTTTTTGTCAAATTTTGGCAATTTTAATGATGTAACCCCTTATGAAATTTTCAATTTTCGGAAAAATGTTAAAAATTTATTTTTTGACCGGACATGGCTAGAACGACTGGGCTGTTGATTCTGATCAAGAATATATATGGTTTATAGGGTCGGAAATGACTCCTTCATTGCGTTCGAAGCTTCTGACTTAACTTATATTCTTCAAAAAGGTATAAAAACAGGCAATTTTTTAGAAAAATAAAAGTTTTTCGGACATCATAATTAGGCCGAAATTGCATTAATTTTAATTCGGAAAGCTTTTCTGTGCTAGTTTTTATTGCTCTAACAAATCTGCATACTGCGTTTGTCTATGCTATTGTCAGTTTTTGACTAAAATCATAAAAACCTGCAAAAAGGTATAAAAACGGACCATTGTTTCGAAAAATCATAGTTTAAAAAAACTCATAACTAAGCCAAAAAATCATTAATTTTAATTCAGAAAGCTGTTCTATGCTAGTTTTTAGTAGATTAACAAAGCTGCATACTCAGTTTTCAAATTTAAAAAATTCAATTTTTTGTCAAATTTTGGCAATTTTAATGATGTAACCCCTTATGAAATTTTCAATTTTCGGAAAAATGTTAAAAATTTATTTTTTGACCGGACATGGCTAGAACGACTGGGCTGTTGATTCTGATCAAGAATATATATGGTTTATAGGGTCGGAAATGACTCCTTCATTGCGTTCGAAGCTTCTGACTTAACTTATATTCTTCAAAAAGGTATAAAAACAGGCAATTTTTAGAAAAATAAAAGTTTTTCGGACATCATAATTAGGCCGAAATTGCATTAATTTTAATTCGGAAAGCTTTTCTGTGCTAGTTTTTATTGCTCTAACAAATCTGCATACTGCGTTTGTTGATGCTATTGTCAGTTTTTGACTAAAATCATAAAAACCTGCAAAAAGGTATAAAAACGGACCATTTTTTCGAAAAATCATAGTTTAAAAAAACTCATAACTAAGTCAAAAAATCATTAATTTTAATTCAGAAAGCTGTTCTATGCTAGTTTTTAGTAGATTAACAAAGCTGCATACTCAGTTTTCAAATTTAAAAAATTCAATTTTTTGTCAAATTTTGGCAATTTTAATGATGTAACCCCTTATGAAATTTTCAATTTTCGGAAAAATGTTAAAAATTTATTTTTTGACCGGACATGGCTAGAACGACTGGGCTGTTGATTCTGATCAAGAATATATATGGTTTATAGGGTCGGAAATGACTCCTTCATTGCGTTCGAAGCTTCTGAATTAACTTATATTCTTTAAAAGGTATAGAAACAGGCAATTTTTTAGAAAAATAAAAGTTTTTCGGACATCATAATTAGGCCGAAATTGCATTAATTTTAATTCGGAAAGCTTTTCTGTGCTAGTGTTTATTGCTCTAACAAATCTGCATACTGCGTTTGTTGATGCTATTGTCAGTTTTTGACTAAAATCATAAAAACCTGCAAAAAGGTATAAAAACGGACCATTGTTTCGAAAAATCATAGTTTAAAAAAACTCATAACTAAGCCAAAAAATCATTAATTTTAATTCAGAAAGCTGTTCTATGCTAGTTTTTAGTAGATTAACAAAGCTGCATACTCAGTTTTCAAATTTAAAAAATTCAATTTTTTGTCAAATTTTGGCAATTTTAATGATGTAACCCCTTATGAAATTTTCAATTTTCGGAAAAATGTTAAAAATTTATTTTTTGACCGGACATGGCTAGAACGACTGGG